AGCATCCTAGAGGGTCAGGGTTCCTGGTCCCTGTAAGACCGCAGAGGCAATGGCCTAGAGAGAACAGGTGACTTCAGGGCCCATCTCCTGGGAGCTATGTGTGCTCCAAGATGACACATCCAACTTACATCAAAGACCTAGTGATCCTAAGCCACACATCCTCAAGCTCCCATCTCTCCTAGGAGAAGGGACTAGACAGACACAAAGATTTTTCCTTTCAAACGCTGTCTCCAGGGCCATGAGGCAGGAGCAGCTCTGGGGACAGCAGGCTCGAGTTTCCTCTACCATACAAGAGCCCAGCTCTCTGATGCTGTCCATGCAGACAGCTCAGAGTGAAAGGCCCCCTATGTGGACACCCCCTTGACCCTCCGATAGGTGCCTCTGTCTTGGAAAATTCCTCCCACTCTGGGAGAGGCCTCCGCCAGCACTTGGGTTCCCCTCCACAACCCACACCAACTCCTTGAGTTCTCTGCTGCAATCTGGTTTCGAGTCAGGATGTTCTGTGGTGCATTGTACAGCAGCCGGTCCCTGAGCACACACTGCTGAGAAGAGCCGCCCCCACAGCCCTCACTTTCACAGCATTTGCCTTGCCAATTATTAGCACAATGGGCCAATTCTCATCCTGTGTTGCTCTTGGGGAAAATATGCAGGCTAGGGAACTGGCCTAGATTGGAAATGGAACGGCAGAAGCTGCCAATTAACATGAGTTCTTTTTTTGCATCCCCTAAAGAGGTTAGTCTCTAGGGAGAACTTATAAATAAAAAACATGATCCCACCAGGCTTCAAGGAACTCCTTAGATGCCTCACATCTCCGGGGGTTGGGATGAACGTCAAAGGTCACTTGGTCTAACTGTCCAGTGCTTGAATCCCTTAGATGACTTTATCAGCTACCTCCTGAATGCACCCATGTTTGAGGAACTCAACATTCACCATAGCAGGAGGCTCCATGGATTTGAAATGTCTTCCTTTAATTCAATCAAATCCACCTTCCATAACTCCCCCACTTTGGTTCCAGCTTGTGAGTGAAGCTAGTCAACCACTCAGTCTCCATTCCCAGGAAATAATCAACTGCTCAGGAAAATGGCCCCTAAGCCAAAAATATAAGTTTTGGAAAAGCACAAGAGAAAGCCTACTAGAGCAGAAAGGCTAACAGTTGGAAGAAGGGCTGGACTATCCTCATGGACACAAAAGGCAAAGTCAGGTTACAGATCCAATCTGGGATGGATTGCAGGCACCCCTAACACTTCACTTGTACCCACATCAGAAAATCTGTGGAAGGCAGAGGAGGGCAAAAGCTACAACTGTTACTTCAGAGGAGTTCAAACTTACAGCAGGAAGATAAGAAGGAAGGGAAGCATCTGGGGAAACTGAAGCTTGGTCCAGATTTAGTAGACTTCATGTAATGGGCATCCCAGTATCCATGGGAGGGGCTAGGCTTATGGCCAAAGCCTTGGCTTCTCCTTAGAACTTTCTACTTATGCCATTAAAAGGCATCAAGTCTCTCTGCCTCAGACTTGGTTCAACTCTCCTCATGAAGAATCAAGACATCTTCATGTTCCTGGGTGGGATGTCGGCTCAGAAACACAGAGGGCGTCTGGGACAGACCCCCAGTATGTGGGAAGAGCAAGGAAAAATATGAAAAAGAAAAAAATATCACTGGCACATGGGGAAGGCAGCAAATCAAGACAACAGGTTAAGGGGAACAGATGAAGGGGGGGGGGCTCATCACCATAACAACAAGCCCAACAACTCTGAAAGATGGAATTTTTGTTTTTCTTTTCACCTGTCATTCTTCTTGGTACTGTCACTCTCCTTGCTCCTGTTGAAAGACAAGTTGTGAGTTTTTCACTCCCACCAGCAAGCTGCCTGGCTCTGGGGAGTGCAGCTGCTAAGGGGTACGGGGAGAATGGGGTCTCCCACAGGGGTGCTTGGGAGGCTTGGGTTCTGTCCTTCCCCCTCCCTGGTCAAAGGTGGGAAGCGTGTAGCTTGCTCATGAAACATGAACATGGCTGTTTGTGCACAGAGGCGTGAGAGAGTCCCCTCTCACATGGAGACAGAGGAATCACAGGAAGTTTTGTTTCTGCCCCAGGATACCCCATCATATTCCATCAGAGGGAGTCAAAGAGTGTCAGTAATGGCAACTTGATGGAAAATTATGGCTTGGGTCTCCTCGAAAGACCTAAATTTGGTGCTATCAAAAAGTCAGTGGTGCACCTAAGGGAAATTAGAAACCTTGCCTAAATGTAAACTCCTCAACTATGTGAGCCAAGAAGACACCAACACCCACCAGACCTTCATTATACACCCTATCACACTGTGCCAAATTTAGATGGTAATGCTTCATTTAAGTTTTCTTTCTGATACTGCTGGTGACTCAGATGCTCCCTTGATTCCAGAGGTCTTCCCAGGACTGGGTCGATGTAACGAAGGATCTGTAGCAGTGTGTCCTGCAAGAGGTGGCAGTGCCCATACCATCTGGCTGCCCTCTTGGTTTGGTTTATATGGCATATGTCCCCTCACCAACATACACTGCCATCCCCATGGACCAGAGACCTCCTTCAGAAGTGAAGGATGCTCTCTACCTCCAGATATAAAGACTCAGCCACTGGACCTTCCTCCTTCTGCAGATACACAGAATATGCCTCCTATTCCCACTTCCATATGAAGATCTGACCCTACTTCCTTCCATGATATATCACAAATGGACACTGCACCTTCTATAGTCAGGGAGGAAGATGGCTTCTTATGACTTTTTTGAAGATAGTAACAAAAAAAGGTGCCCACCACTCCCTTATCCTTGAAGATAATCTACAACCAAAGTGCACTTGAAAAAACTATAAAGAAGGAAACAAAAACAGCCTTGGAAACCAGGAGGCAAGATGTACTTCAGCTATTGAAAGGCTGATCAGCTGGTGAAGTCAACAGGACTCAGTCTTTTCCTCCTAGCCTTCTTGTCTACCACTTCCCCCCAGGCCAGTTCCCCATCCACTCCATCTGAGCTTCACTGTCAACCACTCTCTTCCAAGCTGTGAGCTGATAATACAGTAATGCGCCTCTCTACCACACCCCAGGCCAGCCCACACAGGAGAGTTTTATAGGAACTTCTATAAATCATAAGTCCTCCAAAAACTCTAAAGACTTACTTCCCAGGGGAACTACAGAACTCACAAACACCAAAAGGGGAGACATTTTGAGATTCTGAAAAATCAAGCCAAGTGGGAATTTACTTGTTCAGCCAACTCTTGAACCAAGCACCAAACTCATTTTTGCATATTTCCCTTGTCAGGCCACGATACCAGAGCAGGAGAAATTCTACCCCTCTCAATAATCATTTCCACCACTTCCAAAGCCAGGCTACACCTTGCCAAGTGTAACCATATTCAAGAACCATCTGCTTTAGCAATACAGGAAGCCACCAGAGAAATATGCTTTAGATAATCCAACAGCTCTGCCAGCCAAGGCGGCTTCTGGGGAGAGAAGGGAGGCTGTTATTTGCCAGCTATGGTCCCCAAGCTCAGCCGAGCTGAATTCTGTACAATGCACCAAGTAGAACTGGGGCAGAGGCCACTGACTTGGTCAATTACTGACCCCTTTCCACATACCCAGATTCAGAGTAGTCTCTAGGGCATGACAGCTCACCTTTTGCAACATCCCCACCTGAAAAAGAACACACAGAGAGATATAAAAGCTTTATCCTACCTAGTGTCACCAACCAACCACGGCTGTGCACCAGTGCCAGCAGAGGCATGCATTTCATTTTAATTTGATGAGAAATCTGAACCTGAGCAAACAATATCAACCAAGATGTTCAAGCCGCCATGGCATCTGGGGATGAGTACGCTTCCAAGATCTAAAGATGTTTTCTTGCCTAAGTCAAGAATTTAATTGATCCCCCTCTCCCCAAGTGAGCTTCTCTGGTGGCTCAAATGATAAAGAATCTGCTGCAATGCAGGAGTCCCAGGTTGAATCCCTAGGTTGGGAAGATCCCCAGGAGAAGGAAATGGCACCCCACTCCAGTATTCTTGCCTGGAGAATCCCATGGACAAAGGAGCCTGGTGGGCTACAGTCCATGGGGTTGCAAGATTTGGACATGACTGAGCTACTAACACAGTCAATCTCCCCAAGTCATTACCTTCCCCCATAACCAGAAGTTTTGTTTGGTTGTTTTCACCACCTGGGAGGATGCTGTCCCTCAGTCCCCAACTCGTGAATCTCATTGGAAGTGACAGAACTCAAGGATGGTCTCACAAACTGAAGTTGTTTCTCAGGCTCCATGAAATGAGTTCTGTCCACTTCCTACTGGACATGGACACTTGTCCCCAGGACCCTAGGAATTAAGCACCCTGCTCCCTTATCCTGCCCATTCAGAACTAGTGCAAGATCTTTTAGCCAAGGCAACAGAGATTTCTAAATTCAGCTATCTGAATCTGCCTACGGTGTTTTTCAGCAAGCACCTCCATGAGAAAAATGACTCCAATTAAGCATAATTATTAGGGTTTAATGGAGCCATTTTTCTACCTCAGTGCCTTTTTTCTATTCCAAGCCCCCCAGTTTTCTTTTTCCCTTCACTGGGACTCAGCACAGTAAGTTAAAGGTATACATTGGTTGATCTTTATTATACATACAATAACTGTCTTATTAAATTGAAATCAAATGCACATCTAGGAGAAAGTTCACTTTAAGTACCAACTCGCAGAAAAATGCTCACAGGCATAAACAATAAGCAAGGCCAGAGTGTTGCTGAGCAACTGAGGGGGTGGGGGGCAGGAATTCAGCTGAAAAGGGAGGGACACAGTTTCCTGAAAGAATGGGGTAAGCTCAGGGGTGCAGATCTTGGTGGAAACTGCCCTGACTTCTTGTGGCATCCCCCACGCTAAAACAGGCACTGGGGAGGATGGGAAATCTAATTATCAACTAAATATAATCAGGGATGCTCAGAGAACTGTCACACACACACACACATGCATACACACAGGCACACACTGTTTTCCTGGGGAATGTTGAACACTCTGTCAATATATACAAAGCCTTTCCAACTATTATGAATGTTAAAGAGGGTGATGGGGTTGAGTGTATGTGTGTTAAAATGCTGCTGCTTGGTTAGTCTCTAGCCCCCTGGCTCACTGGACTCTCCCCCCTCCCCTCTCCCTCCTCCTCTTCCTAGGACAAGACGAGTGCTCTCAGCCTCAGCAATGTAGCGGGCGTGTTCTACATCCTGATCGGAGGACTTGGACTCGCCATGCTGGTTGCCTTAATTGAGTTCTGCTACAAATCGCGTAGCGAATCCAAGCGGATGAAGGTGGCATCGTCTTCCCAGGCCTTTTTCCTAACCTGTTCTGTGATACAGCTGGGTTTCCTAGGAGTCCCTTTTGCTAGAAATGGTGGGGAATGATGGGAGGTGGAGGTCAATCCAAGGCAGGGGCTGACAGAGAGTTAGGTTATGAGTAAGGTGGCAGGGAAAGAGGCAGCGGTGAGAGAGGAAGGAAGATGTGGGTGTGTGTCAGGGTAAATACAAGGCCTGAGAAAACAAATGCATCAGCCAATGATGGGTAGTGAGATGAAAAGTTAGGGGTTGAGTGAACACTCAAGGCAGTGTGAGGCAAGAGTGAATGCCTCACAGTCACTCTTGGTAGTGACTCTCTGGTGTCATGTTAACTGAAGTGTAGCTCCAAAACAGCAGAGGGGGCATCTTCCCTCTGCAAGGTGGATGATTTTGCCATGCTGGGTGATGTAGGTCTATTCTTGGCCATCACACTGTAAGATGGACTTTGGCAGAGAGGATCATGCCCAGAGAATGGTAAGCACATTAACTGATGACCCCAAACCACATCAAATATAGTGAAGGCAGCTAACTCAAAAAGAGAAGAAATACAGAAGTTATGAGAGCTGCCTGTAAAACCATGAAGAATTCTTGGGAGTGAAAGAAAACAGATCAGTTTTGTGGAGTCCCAAAGTATACAACAAGAACTAATGACTAAAAGTTATGGAGAACAGATGTGAACACAGTGAGATCTACTTTTCTTTCAGAGCTATCCCAAAAGGGATGGATTGTGCCAGTAAGTAACACACAGCCCATCACTAGAGGCATACATGTAGAGGATGAATAATTCCTGACAAATGTATAGATTCAAAGTATCCAATGGAGTCTGGACTAAATGACCATCAAGGCCCCTCACTTGCATCATTTAGCTTCAATAAGAAAATATTTTGGGAAGAAAATGTTATTCATGTGAGCAACACCATAAGCAAGACATCATGAGGAGGCAGAGAGAACTAAGACACTATCTGTAACTTTCAGCAGTTTTAACAAAGAAAATCTACTCAGGGACCCAAACTATGGCATAGATAGGAAGACCTATAGGGATATATAGGAGGGAGAAAATAGAGAAGGCTTCCGGGAAGAACCAGAAATTAAGAGGAAGGACAAGTGTAATTCAAACCAACAGAAGTGGCAAGAAGCACAGTCATTCTGAGCAATGTACCCTAGGCTGCTACTTTGACTTGCGTAGACTAACAGGACTCATTGATAGAATTTTCTCTCCCAGAATGTGCCCTAAGAAGTCCTTTTTTCAACATGCAATCACTCCCAGACTCAGCATACCCACTGTTGGATCATAGTCATAGCCTTCTACCAACCCTCTTCCTGCTTTAGGCACCCACCTTACATATACCTCCAGGTCCCTCTTGGAGAAGACATGGCTGGACATTTGCTTCTCCTGTTTGGAAACTCTGTACTCAGTTCTGTACACAGGGAGGGGGAGTCGAGAGCGGAGGGCCTTCTGTCCTGGCATTCAACATTTCCACATCATAGTTCTACCCTACGTTCCCCTCCCTAGGCAATCTGCTCTCCTTACGTGCTCCATACTCCAGCCACCCACCTCATGTCTTCCACGTGCACCCACCCATGTGTCTTGATGCAAGCCAATCCCTATCTGTCTTCCTTCCCATAATTAGTCGCTCAGTTGCATCCAGCTCTTTGAGACCCCATGCACTATAGCCTTCCAGGCTCCTCTGTCCAGGCAAGAATACTAGAGTAGGAAGACATTCAGTTCTCCAGGGGATCTTCCCAACTCAGGGATTGAACCCAGGTCTCCTGCATTGCAGGCAGATTCTTTACCATCTGAGTCACTAGGGAAACCCCAAAGTCAACTTCCCAAGATATATAGCATGGAGTAATTAAGGGATGGTAGCGTAATGGTACTTGGTCAGGGACCTAGAAACACCTCCATCCCACCCTTGACCAGTTCATCCAAGTTCAGGTCCTCTCAGAAAGGACAAAGCACAGCAAAAGTGTGGACCTCAGATTCTAAACCCAGTGCAGACCTCCAAGGAGTTTGGCTGGACACAACAAGGTCTCCTGGAACCTGAAGGGCTGTCTTTGCCTACCCCATTCAAAGCATAAGCCTAAAAACTCTTATCTTACCCATCAGAAGTGCGGAAAGTTACTCCAGAGGCAGTAAGTGGAACAGGAGAAGACCTAGGTTAGCACAACCTTTCCGTCAGTCAGTCAGTTCAGTCACTCAGTCGTGTCTGACTCTTTGCAACCCCATGAATCACAGCACGCCAGGCCTCCCTGTCCATCACCAACTCCCGGAGTTTACTCAAACTCATGTCCAACGAGTCGGAGATGCCATCCAGCCATCTCATCCTCTGTCGTCCCCTTCTCCTCCCACCCCCAATCTTTCCCAGCATCAGGGTCTTTTCCAATGAGTCAACTCTTTGCATGAGGTAGCCAAGTATTAGTTTCAGCTTCAACATCAGTCCTTCCAATGAACACCCAGGGCTGATCTCCTTTAGGATGGACTTGGTTGGATCTCCTTGCAGTCCAAGGGACTCTCAGGAGTCTTCTCCAACACCACAGTTCAAAAGCATCGATTCTTCGATGCTCAGCTTTCTTCACAGTCCAACTCTCACATCCATACATAACTACTGGAAAAACCATAGCCTTGACTAGATGGACCCTTGTTGGCAAAGTAATGTCCCTGCTTTTAAATATGCTATCTAGGTTGGTCATAACTTTCCTTCCATGGAGTGAGCGTCTTTTAATTTCATGGCTGCAATCACTATCTGCAGTGATTTGTGAGCCCAAAAAAATAAAGTCTGACACTGTTTCTACTGTTTCCCCATCTATTTCCCATGAAGTGATGGAACTAGATGCCATGATCTTAGTTTTCTGAATGTTGAGCTTTATGCCAACTTTTTCACTCTCCTCCTTCCACAACCCCCCAAAACTTTCCCCATGGGCCATAACCAAAACCAGGGTCCCAGGATTGGCCTGGTGCTCACTGAGGGAACTCCCCTCAAATATAGTGCAGCAAGGCTCTGGAGACTGAATGTCTGAGCACAAATATTACCTGCTCTGAACATTAACTGAATCATCCTGAACAAGTTTCAATAGCTCTCTGATCCTCCTTTTCATAAAATGGGGCTAGTGGTAGCACTGGGCTAGCCAAAAAGTTCATTTGGGTTTTTTGGTAACATCATATGGAAAACCTAAACAAACCTTTGTCCAACCCAATATACACCTTATAAAAATTGTTGTGGATTATATGAAAAAGTGGGTATAAAGGCTCTGCAAAATGCCTGGGCCATAGTAAGCCCTAAGTAAATAATAATTACTAGAATTATATTATTATAAAGAATATTATTAACTAGAATTATATTATTAGTGGCCAGCTACAGCCTCCTTAAGACTTTCATCTCATAGCCCCTACTAACATGTCCTAGGGTTTTTTAAGCCATAGAGATTGTGAGTTTCCTAAGGTAAGAAACTGTATCTGATTTCTCTTTGGTCATCCCACATACATAGGGTAAGCGTTAGTTAGATTAATGTGGGATTGTATCCAGAGAAAATCTCCTAGAGGATAAGGTGAGGCAATGGAAGGAGCTGCTGTCAGATGAAGCAAACACAACCATCAAAACCACCCAGCCAGGAAGCAAACACATCACCTGATGTCCTTTTGGCTCCATCATGAGAACTGATGAAACCAGACATGCCCAAGCAGGACTGGACTTCCAGCCCTTCCTATGGGATGACCATATCCTACTAATCATGGTCAGTGCCAGGTGGCAGTACCAGGGTGGCTAACAACAAAGATCCTCTTAAACCTGTATAATATTGACCTTCACCACTGAAGTCACAACATGCAAGACAAGAATCCTTAAGAAAGTCAACTGAGTCATACCATAACTTCCGGGAGACATTCTCTCCCTTCCCTTTCTAAGGAAGATATCAAATTTCTCAGGAGCCAACATCAGGATCTCTTAGAATCACTAATGCAAGCTCTTCCATCACAATCTTCTATAGTTAATTCCACTGGTTGGCATGACTTCTGCCCAACACAATGAGACTCCTAATAGAATTTTTAATCTTCTACCTGCAGAAAAGATGCCTTTATGGGCCTTAAGTGTCAACCAGTCCTTAATTTTCAGAGCTCCATCAACCCCTCTCTTATCCAAAGGAGATAAGTGAACACATTCTGCTTGCCTCTCAGACTTTGCTGCTTTGCAGTTCTCTCTATCATTCTGTACTTTGCCTGCTCCAAAGGCAGATTAACTCTTTTCAAAAGTTCAGCCTCCAGCTTCACACAGAGGACTGCACTGACAGTATCCAAGGCCTTTGGCAAGAACCTTCCTTCTTGTTTCTTCCCTTAACTACAGTACATGGCCAACCCTTAAGACCTTGAGCCCCTAAACCTAGTTCACAATCAGCCTCCTATTTCTCAACAGTGGTTATGGAGCCCTTCCCCACCCTGCATGAAAAAGAGAGGAAAGAGAAGAGGGTGCAGGAAAAGGAAAGAAGGAAAGGAGAAAGAAAGAAGAAAGGGAGGGGAAAAAGGAAAAATACCTTTTTAGTAACTTCTCTGTTCAAAGTGCTTAATATACATTTTCATTAACCCTGTGCTTGCAGTTCTACAGATAAAGAAATAGGGGGTCAGGGAAGTTAAGTAGTTTTTCCAACAAACTCAGAGCTGGTGGAACAGGAATGAGATCTCCAACGTGGCTTCTGCAAAGCCTGGGTTCTTGGTACCAGCCAAGTCACTTCTCATCAATTTCTTTCTCCACCCCAACCACAGGGCAACAGATAATTTTTATCACCTACTAGGTCCCATCAAAACCCCACCCACAGTGCACAGACAAATAAGAGGCAGTCCTTATCCTTAGGTTTGTCTGATCTAGTTGTTTAGGCCATCCACAGGACGTGATCCTTGGCTTGCGCATTACTGAGACCCGCTCCCCTTTGATGTCATGTGAGCGGGACACAGAGCAAGTGTCACAGGGATGGAGGAAAGGCACCCTGCAGGCAGTACTTCTACAAAGACTATGCAGCACCACGGCCTGCTAGGATCACTCAGCCCTCAGGATCCAGTCAGGAGCAAGCCAGAGAGTTTCTGCTCTCAGGAAACTGAGAGTTTAATTGACAGACAGAAAATAAGCAAATGTGTAATACACGTTCAATGAGTGTTTGACGAAAAATGCCCGCAGCAGTCAAGTCCTGATCAGGGGATGGGGTCAGGGGCAGGACAAGAGGCTTCCCTGAAACAGTGATGGTGAACAGACTTGAGGAAGAGAAGGAGTTATCCAGGAGATGATGGTTGTCACCAAAGGAGGCACAAGTATCACAGACCCAAAGACCAGAACTCTTGCCCAGACATAAGAGGAAGGCCAGGGAGATTGGGCACAGGAAGACTGATGAGAAAGGAGAGCAAGGAAGAGCTGGGCGCTCAGAGAGGAACTTCAGGCAACACCAACATTTCGGCTTAAGTGAAACTGTCACACAGTAAAAAAAAATTTCAAATCCAAGACATACTCCAAATTGAATAAACTCTCAGACACCCTGTACCTCTCCTCTGCTTGGGAAAACAGACAGAAACCTGAGCCCTTAACTGATAGTAAGTCTAACCAGGGTCTTTATTATCTACCGCATTGATGCCCCTCAAAAGAATAATTCCCAGCCTCTCCCACCCCCAAGAGAGTGCTGACTTTTCATAACTGTAGTAGCTGTGCTGACATGGGCTGTGTTGAAACCACAGCCATCCCTGGAATTAGCGTGCAGCTGAGGTACATGGTCAGGCATGGGTACGGCGGGAGAGGGGGGTGCATCCTCCACAGCAGGTGGTCCCTCTGACTCGAAGGCATCACGAAGGGCTGAGCTTTTACTAGGGTGTTCTGTGATGTACAGAGGCTGAGCAGGCTTTTCTTAGAAAAGCAAGTAGCTGAAAAGTTAGGGTGTCATCACTGTTAGATAAATGAGTTTCTGAAGCAGCAACTCTGGGACTTTGAAGCTAGACTTTTCACTCACCCTTTTCTCCCTGAGTATCTGTTTCAGAAACAACTACTTATAAGGATGAACTTGAAGAAGAGCTGGCATGTCAAGGATGGACAGGAGAGAACCACAGTTCCCAGAGGCAAGGGGAGAGATGACATCAGCTTACAATGTGTTAGCTACCAGGGGGAGAAGGCCTCACAGGCAGGGGGCCGTCCACTTTGACCCTAGGTCACAGATAACTGTAACTTGAAGCGAGTCAGTGACAAGTCCTCAGTTGCTCTATGAAGTGAAACCAACTAAGACCAGTATGTTTTCACCTTATTTGCATATTAGAATAACCTGGGGGCAGGGCAGGGGGGTTGAAACTCTAGATGTCCAGGCCACACACCACACCTATTAAGTCAGCATCCCTGAGGCAGGTCTCAGACATCAGTGTTTCTTCCTCTGAAACCCCTACAACCTGCAGCTAAGTTTGAGAACTAGTGAAATGGTTGTTTTTAGCAGTGCTTTCCACTCCCATTTTGACTCTATTCATCCCTTCTCCTCAGATTAGAAAGGAAACCAGTAAGCAGGTAACCCCCACCACCAACAGGGGAATGGAGTCACTGACCTCAGAGAACTCCTCAGCTTTCATAAAAACCAATCCTGAATGACTTGAACTTGAAGAGTTCTAGCCACATGCCTGGTTCAGTTACCTCAGACTCATAGGCACCCATACTGATTACGCCACTAGCCTTCTCCTTTAAAATAAATAAGTCAAGTACCACTGACTTCTATGAGATATTACGGAAATATGTGAGACCTTTTGAGAAAGAAAGCCCAGGGTGATCTGTGTGAACTTTAAACTTTTTGTTTTAACTAAAGGAGTGTGGCAGAGAAAACTCATAGAAGCTAGACATCTCAAGCTAATTCATAGAAGGTTCCACACTGCCCCCACACACAAATAAAAAGTTCTTGTCAACAATTTAAAAGTGAGAACAAGTCACCATGAATTCCCCATGTTTTCTTTTTACATTTCTTTTTACATTTCCCCCATAGAACAGTACAGAGGTGTTGATGTGACCTTGACTTGGAAGAATGCTCTCCGGGTCACACTTCCTCGTCAGTGCAGGCTGAATGTAAATACACTATGTCCAGGAGTTTGAAGAGGAGACAGAACCCGTGTGGGTGGAGCATCATATGGGGCAGATCTGTCTGAATCATGGAATTTTTTAAAAGGAAAACTATTTTAAAACACTGTCAGAATTACCAGTAATAAGAGGATCCTCCCAAAGCATAGTGTAGCAGAAAGAACAACAACTGGGTCAAAACTGCCCTGTTTATGTCCATGAGGCCACAGGAGGTTGACTTACTTCTCTGACCACTTGAATCATGTCAATATGCAAAGGGGGAAGCCATCAACTTTTTAAGACTGGCCCTATGTGTTTGGCTTTTCTTAGACACATTCTAAGATATCTACTGGGCCTCTAACGACATGCTGGGCACGCTGGCAGGCAGCTAAGGATTGAGAAGACACAGCCCCTGTCCTTCTACACACAGTTAGCTCTGTTAAAGAAGACAGAAGTTACATACCTGAAGCAGAATCATTGCAAGCAAGTGTATAATGTATGAGAACTGGTGAGGACGGGGGGCAGGACATGCTGGGCAGTCTAAGACAATTTCAAAGAGATAGGAACAAATTGAGTCTTGAAGGATGGATAGATTGGCCTTACAGAAAGAAACCTCTAAACTCATAGACAATTTTTTGTGTTGATTTTCACCAAGAAACTAAGCCCTACCTCAAATTTCTATGGGTATCTTTTAACAAGAAGTTGGAGGTGACAGGAAAAGGGTTTGGATTTCTGGTCATGAAATTTCATTCCCCAAAGGAACTCAGTAAAGAACACTTCCTCTTATCTAATAGGATATGATTATAATCACAGATTCTTGTCTTGATCATTTTGTCTAACTCATCTCATCCTGGGGTGATCATTGGAGTTCTTTTGACATCTAGAATTCCAACATTCTAGAAATCGCAATCTTTCACAAATCAGTAGCACCAATCTGATGTGTCAGGGTAGAAGTATAGGTTATATGCTCTAATGGGAAGTGGATGACAGATAATGATCTTTGGAATTCATTTTCATTTTCTTTAGCACAGGCTTCTTTCCCATTATATTATGCATACCGTATTAGTCAAACAAGTCCCTATGTTCTCTTAACACACACTGCTAGAGGTAGGATGACATTTTTTTCCAGAAGTAATCATAAGTAGTTTTAAATTTTCACCCAACAATGATATACCATCAATTTTGTGTAACACTTCAACCATTCTCTCTAATACACTTTGACAAACATGGAGATTTCAAAGGTCTAGAGAAGTAACTATGCAAAAAGTCACATAGCAAGTTGATGTCAGAATCAGGACTGAAACCCAAGGTTCCTAAACCCCATCTCCAGAGCTTTTCTACTTGGTCATGTTGCTACATTTATTATCATCAATACTACCATGGAACCATTGTACCTTTAGAAATCACAGAAGGTGAAGGATCTTAGAGATCACCCAATTCAGCACATCTCGTTAAACTTAGAGAACATGAGCTCCAGAGAGGGAATCAGACTAGTCCACAGCCAGGTAACAGTTCTGTGAGTTCACAGGAAGTCAGGATTAGCATTACAGATTAGGAAACAAGCTGGGTAGGGAGGAGAGTTGGAGTGACATTTTAAGCCCAGTGTTGACTCATTCTCCTTGCTTGTCATTGCTAAGGACCTGGGGAAGAACCCCCGGTCCTCCTGAAAAGGGTTTCTGTTTGATCCCACAGCAATCCATCAACGAAGCCATACGGACATCGACGCTCCCCCGAAACAGCGGGGCAGGAGCCAGCGGTGGCGGGAGTGGAGAGAACGGCCGGGTGGTCAGCCATGACTTCCCCAAGTCCATGCAGTCGATCCCCTGCATGAGCCACAGTTCAGGGATGCCCTTGGGTGCCACCGGATTATAACTGCCGCAGATGGAGACCCCCTTGGGGAGTATGCCCAGGCTCGCCCAATTCCATCCCATACCCCTCAGTGCCAAAAACAACAAAATGAAACACAACCGCCACCAACCACCAGGACCACGAGGAGGAGGAGTCAACAGATTTTCCTGAAGAATCAAGAAACCATTTTGCGGCCCCTTCTCCGTTTTTGATGTTCTTTTGCCCTTTTCCGTTGGCTAAGCGTGGATGATAAATAACACTGTACGGCAATAAGGGGAGAATAACCCTGTCATGTAGAGCCTGTGTCACTGGAGCACTAATGAGGAAACTGTACTGTTTTCTTTTAATTCAGTTGTTCATGTGTCTTAGTGTGTGCACTATTTTTTTTCTTACTAATATCCATGGTTTGCAGGTTCTGTTAGATCCCTTCCTTTTCCTTCTTACTCCCAATTCCCTACCCATCCCACTTTAGTTTTCAGATCGGGGATTCAAGATTCGTTCCACCTGACAAGCAAGCAAAAGGAAAACAGCAATCTTCAAATGAATTCATCATGGGAGCTCTCCAAATCCCCTCCACACCTCGGCCCCAAGCCATGGATGGAGACCGACATTGCTGGAGGAGTGGGCTGCCTCTCCACACAGGGCTCTGCCCAGGCACTGACTTAGTTAAAAACACGTGTGAAGCAACTTAGACCCTGGGTGGCAAAGAAGCTGTAAAGGCAGACATGCAGTCAGAAGAAGACTCATGAAGTTATTGCTGGAGATGCAGATAAAGCTTCCTTGAATGTGGAACAGCCGTCTCACAGTCCTTAGGTGGAACAGTATGCTTTGTCACAGAATCATGCTCAGCCCTGAGGAGTATGTCCTGCTATGCTCAAGCCCAATGGCATTCTGGTGGCTGAAGGGCAGCTGACCTCCTAAACCAAGTCGAGCCTTGGGAATAGCTGACATCCAGAAAACTCTCATCCCTGATCCTCACTTTTCATTTGATATTCCTCTGCAGCAACCCCATTGTAGAGTAGACTCTTTCTCTTTGGAGCCTCTGATGTGGGGGAAATGTTATACAAGCTAAATGCAAAAAAAAAAAAAAAAGAAGAAGAAGAAACAAAAAAAGCTGATGGGAGAACTTTGGAAGAGGAAGCTTCATCCAAGCCCACAAGCAATAGAACTTTCTATAGTGTGCCCTGTCCTAAGACTGAGAGACCAAGTGTGAAGTTTAGGGTTTTAGTGACCTGGAGAACTTGAGTTTTTATGTCCATGTATGAGTGTTATTTTACCAGGTGGTCAGATGAAATGTCATCTTTAGAAAGTGAAATGCCCAAGGCTGAATGATTTGAAGGACAGGGAGATGGATTAGGTTGATAACAACACTGGGAGACCTTAAGATCCCTGATCCCAACTTGTAACTTGAAGAGGCCAACCTTCCCCCTGGCTAAGACAGAATGAGAATGTTGTGATCCAATGACCAGAATCATTGGATTGTGCCCACAATGTGAAACTAAAACAAGATTGGAGAAGTGACAGGGTTCATGGAGAGAAGCCTAGGCTGACTACAACTTAGGTTGGGATCTTGGCACATGGCTTTCTTGGAGATCCCAGCGCTCATTCCTGGTGCAGTCAGCTTCCTTCTCTCCAGCACCTCTCTGCTAGGTGCATGATTCATCACCTAGAGTGTGCCATGCGTCATCACCATATTCTGGCTTGTTCCCTCACCCCCCAACTTCTATCCATTCTTCTCTGCTAGGGATTATCATTAGCAATGGACAAACTAAAGGTTTTGGAGCCTACCTCCAAGTAGATGCAGCATGACTGGCTTCATATGTGGATTCTCTCCATGGACCCCCACCATCTATATGTCTCTTCCATCCTCCTTTCATCAGCCATAGCAAAGAACCATCCCCAAATCAAACTCTTTGCCCTCTCAACTCAAGTGTCATTCAGTCTCTCATATATCCATGTGGGCATGGTATGTGAAGCAGGACCCTCGAGAAGGATTGTCACCTTTTGCTACTGCCCAGCTGGTGTCCTACCCATCCATTGCCCTCCCACCAGATTTTCCCTAACCCTTAGCCTACCACTGCAGAATCTGATACGACCCACCCTTATGGAGTCTGCATTTCAGAGGAGTTCGAAATAACCCTCTACAATCAACATGCTTCAAAAATATTTTGCCTTTGGCCTGGTAAGATGCCTCTTCAGCCACTGAGTTCACCAGTAACATGATCTGATAGTAACAGATCAGCTATGCTAGAAATGAGTGTGTATGCTATGTTGGGGTCCAAGACTCCAGCAGATGTTTTTCATTGACAGAGGGGTGACGGGAAAAACAAAAGTAAGAAAAAAGTTAACTTGTATTATGTATTTTTACTACACTTTTCTTAAAAATAGAGCAATGGGGAAACTGAAGGAGACTGACATTTTTCTCAACAGGAATCCATACTAAACAGTTCTGGCTTTCATTAAATTTTGCTCTTTGGTACCTGGGCCTTTTATTTAACATCTCTATTTGTTTTAACTCTCTTGGCAGATGTGTGAAAGGATTTTTGCTTGATCAAACACTAAATATTTTTCTTGGTTCCTGTTTTTCTTTCAAATAGACAGGTTTTTTTTTCTTTTGGTATTTGCATAAAATGAAAATATCACCAAGAATTAAATCACTGTGGATTCATTATCTACTTTTCATATTTGTCCATTCCATGTTTGTGCCATTTCTGAAGCCAGAGCACTAAACTATGTTATTTTCTTATTGTTAAGCCTAAGTTCAGTGCATTTTCAATGGTGACCAATACTCCTGACTCATGAACAGTTCTTCAAACAAAGTCATTGCAGATGAACTAGATCACTGTGGTTTATTCACCCAAATGAGACAATAACAACAAAAAGACAGAATGGTATTGGTTTTCAAGGGTTATGGTTCCAATTGCGTAAGGAGCAGGGTTTAACTTGCAGTAGTCACAGCACCTCTAGAGAACTGGAAGGTTCACACGGAATGTCTTCCAGACCTTCCCCCAGCTGGAGTCCAGATATACCTATGATGTGCAGAGTCACAACCAAAACCAAATCTAGATCAGGCTTATAAAGACAATTGTGGTCCTTAGAGCACATGACCCCTCTTCTTGCCTGAAAGCTATTCTTTCACTCAAGCAAGATGGACTCTGTAAAGGACCTAACATTTTTTGACACGTAAATACCAATGATTAAGAACAGCTTCAAGCGTTTTCTTTCCTAGGGAACTTGTGCACATTAGAAGGGGTCAGAGGTCTAAAATAACAGTGGCATTTCAAGCAGTGACTACCATGGTTTAAAAGGGATGGTGGAAGGGAAAGAACTTAGCAGACTTGTGTGAGGTTTAGTCACTGTTCAGACCCACTCACAGTCACCTCCAGCATCTAGGGTGCTCCTGAATGAGGAAGCCCTTAGCACCAACTGCCACAAGGAGAAAACTGATCTGTCACCTTGCCATCAAATAGTTGGGATAGTGATCATAATGGCTATAAGAGCACAGGTTACTATGCGCTGAGCACTCACTATGTTAAGCACACTTCATATCTTCTAAAGCATGACAGTGGCCCATAAGAAATGAGGAATCCCAGACTTAAAGGGGACATCACAATCTCCTCACAGTCTTGTAAGTGACAGAGCCAAGATTCTGCCAGGAACCCAAAGGCTTTACATTGCCCATCTCATTGTTAACCAGCTTATAATATGAACAGGAAAATCAGGGGTGAACAGAAAAATCACAGGCAAATAGTCCTCTGCCTTCCTCTAATACCAAAGTAACTGAAAATGGAATGGTGCAAGGTACACAGGCCACAGCTTTCGGAAAGTCAGTCTATCCTCTTGGGGCATGAGAGATCACTAATCCAGACAGGATTAGCCCAAAAGGAAAAGAAGAGAAAGAGTCACTGTGGGCCCTTTTAAAATATCAATATTCAGGCGAAAGAGTAGCAAGCAGGCTGAAAAGGGGACTGGAAAGCAGGCTCCCTTGCAGAATAGCTGGTTCAGCCTGGAGAAGGATCCTCGTGGCTGTCCAGAGGAAGTGGAGCTAGCTTTTGAGGGGACAAGACCAGGATCAGTTGTGGGACTAAAGAAGGAGGTCATAATGGTCCAAGTATCCCCATGGTAGAATGAGACAGCCTCTGGAGGCGATGCCACTGATGTGAAAGTTGAAATATATATCCTCTAATGTTCCTTACTTTATCTTTGCATCTCTGCAGCCCTGTTCAGGTTATCTGCTAAGTAACATTCTGATATATGTTAAGAGGAGGTCAACAAGGCCCTACAAAAATGGATGTAAATATCACTAAAATCGGGTCCAAATCAACTTATCCTCATAAGAGACAAGATGGCAAGTTCCTTCCTCACCAAATGCTAATGTTCCCTCTAGGAAAAATTATCTATGGAGGTCCATTCCTATCCTATTGCTGCTACTACTGTTAAGTTATTCAGTCATGTCTGACTCTTTTGCAACCCCATGGACTGTAGCCTGGCCAGGTTCTTCTGTTCATGGTATTTCCTAGGCAAGAATACTAGAGCAGGCTGCCATTTCCTCCTCCTGCCAATCTCCTGCATTGGCAGGCAAATTCTTTACCACTGAGCTACCTGGGAAGTCCCTGGTGTGAGTCTGGCCACTGATAAATGACCCTAATAGAGTGCTTTGTAATTTTCAAACAAATTTTGTTTCTTGAAGTTTCCAGATCACACCATGAACAGAGAAGCAATGTACTGCAGTGGAAAAGCCAGTAGATGAGATGAGGATTCACAATGCCTGGCTTCCTCTCCTCTGGTCTTTTCAACCTTGGATAAGAAAATTAACTACCTGAGCCTCATTTTCCTATCAAAGAAATGGGACATCTGGTGTCAAAACAGACAGTAACTCTAGACTCTGAATACACTCAAGAGTCACATAGGGAACTTTAAATAAAGTCACCAATGCTCAAGATGCATCTCCAAATCCAGCTTGTCTGAGCGCATGCATGGTTGTTGTTCTTTTATTATTGTTTTGTTTTGAACTTTCAGGTGAT